TAGGAGCTCTGGTAGCATAGTGCCTAAGGCACTTGACTGCTAACCAGAAGGCTGGCAGTTCAAACCCACCAGCCACTCCTTGGAAAGAAGGGGTTGGGCACTCTACTTCCGTAGTGATAGTGTCTTGGCAACCCAAGAAGGGGTCACTATAAGTCGGGTCCGACTCGATGGCACAAAGCAACAACAACAACATAAAGAAAAGTTACAGATTAACCAAACCTACTGTCACAGAGTTGATTTTGACTCACAGCAACCCTATAGCACAGAGAAGAACTACCCATAGGGTTTTCAAGGCTGTAAATCTTTCCAGAAGGAAACTGCCTTATCTTTTTCCCACATTAGCTGGTGGTTTCAAACCACTGACCTTTTGGTTAGCAGCCAAATGCTTTAACCAGTGCTCCACCAAATCTCCTAAGTTTAACCACATTAAATGATAAAAAAAAAAAGACAATTATTAATCAATCTTTCCATGTGGCACAGTGATTAAGCAATTGGCTGCTAACCGAAATGTCAGCAGTTCCAACCCACCAGCCACTCCACGGTAGAAAGATGTGACAGCTAGAAAGATGTGACAGCCTGCTTTTGTAAAAGATTTACAGCCTTGGGAACACTGAGGCAGTGCTACTCTGTCCCATAGGATCATTCTGAGTAGGAATTAACTCCACAACAATGGGTTTGGATAAAACCATAAACCTAGGTATTGCTTTCTCTCCCATAGTTCTAAATACATAGCATTTTTGATTCTGGAAAAATAAAAATTCAGTATCACTTATTCAAATACAAAATGCAACTATATAATTCTGTTAAAATACACTTCTGAAACAATTCCTGTAACTTCTTGCAATTAAATTTCCATAAACTCTTTACACTTAATTTCCTCCCCATTCAGATGCTTTCTAGTTTCTTTGCCAAGACAAAATCTGGAAAAAAAAAAAGCTATTAAGTAAACAAGGATTTTCTTCTTTAATCTGACCTCAAAACCAAGTACATACAGCATGAACACTTACATTGTTAGTTCCAACATTTCTTCATTATGAATTCTCTTCCTGTTGGACAACTGATCTGGCAAATATCGAAGTATTAATTCTTCAACCAGAGTAGTTATTTGAAAATTTCTGCTTTCCAACAACTACAGAAAAAGAAAATGTTAAATGTTGTTGCTGCCAATAGTTGCCATTAACCATATGGTAATTGATTCTAAAGGAAAAAGCACTATCTTTCCAGTCTGGAAGTTCAACAAGGAGGTGAAAGAGTGCAGTGTCTCCAAGACAAGAAAGGATACAGACTGAGAGCACAGAGGGGACAGTCTGTGAAGGGAACAGGGACAGTTCACTTCCTCCATGGTAAGAGAAAGGAGAAGATGAATACCTGGAGGAAGGACGAGGCAATTCCAGGCTGGAGGGATTCTACATTTTCAAGATTCATAATGTCAGGGAGGGAAGAGAGAGTGAATGATGTAGGATATATAGGTGAGCAAAGAAATACAAAAGAATCATCTTGGAGAGTGAAAAAGGGAAGTTACTAGAAAGTAGTAAGAATGACTGCTAATGTTTTAGGTCTGAGATTTTAAGATCTCCCTAATTTTGTGGTTTTCTCTAGGTTTGTTATATTACTCATGTGGTACATCTAAAAGGCAAGAGTTGATTTTACTTAGGACTGAAGAAAGGGGCTAAAGGGACCAAGGAATTCAAGCTGCATATGAAGGGAAACAGGTAGAGAATGAATAAAAAAGTGCTAGGATCAATGGGTTGAAGGGTCATGATATAGTTAAAGAACAATTCCTCTATGTATGTGTGTGTGTGTGTGTGTGTGTTCTGCATCGTTTTATCTCAGGCTTATAACAGCAGATAATGGCACTTTCTCATTGAGATCCTAATATTCATCATGTACCATTGTAGGTGCTTCATATACACTGGGGTGGTCCTTAAACAATATAGTACAGTCAGCTCTCTATATCCCCAGGTTCAGCAGCCTCAAACTCAACCAGCTGTGGATCCAAAATATTAGGGAAGAGGGGGAAGCAATCCTTCAAAGGCTAAGAGGAAGCATAAAGTGCTATTTATATAGCATTTATATTATATTAGGTATTATAAGTAATCTAGAGATGATCTAGGAGTTCTGGTGGCGCAGTGCCTAAAGCATCTGACTGCTAATCAGAAGGCTGGCGGTTCAAACCCACCAGCCACTCCTTGGAAGGAAGATTGGGCAATCTACTTCCGTACAGATACCACCTCAGAAACCCAAGGAGGGGTCACTATGAGTTGGGACTGACTCGAAAGCAGTGAGTTTGGTTTTCTTTTTTTTTGGAGATGATTTAAAGTATACAGCAGTAAATGTAGGTAAGTTATATGCAGATACTATGCCCATAAGGGACTTGAGCATTTGAGGATTTTGGTAGCAGCATGGGGTGGTACTGGAACCAATCCCCCACAGACACTGAGGGACGACCATATAGATAAGACCTACACTGCAGGAATAAGGCAGCTGGGTCTCAAAAAGTCCAGACACTATTGCAGAGGCCCTGGCACAGCACTAACTGCAGGCCTGGCAAGTTTCAGTGTCCTATTTATGTGGTAACTTGCTGCATTTTGAGCTCCACATATTTCAATCATATTTATAATGGAGTGAAACCTAAACATACTGCCAAGTTACCCTTTTCACACAAATTCAATGTACTGCAGTCATAGACAGGGACCTAGAAGTTCAACCTTTAGAAACAAGAGAAAATGGCAATTAACAGAGTAACTGGTAAAAACAAGCATCTGCTTAATTCACAATACTGCCTCATAACTGTCATAATTAAAGACACAGGTATTTTATAAACTATTAATTAAAGACATCCTTTCATTGAAGAATGCAGCAAAATTTTACTTGAAATTGTTAAGACTTTCATATAAATGTATATAATCTAATTAGTAATTTATGCTCATACCAACACAAGTTAGGTCTAAAGTTCAAAAAGTATCTTCTGAATTGAACGAAAGTCAAATTATGATTTGTGGTTCACCCTATTATTATTATGATTTCTGGAACACTGGCAATCCATGCACACTTTCCACATAACCATTCATTCATTCATGCAGCAAAGATTTCTTAAGCTTCTCTGTGTGTTCTGGTCCTTGGAGATACAGCCCTTAAGGAAGTTATATTATAATGACAATCCCTAGGCACCGTTTCATGATAAAGCCCTTTACAAGGCAGAGGCTGAACAAAGAAGTGAATAAAAGGGTCTGTGCAACAAAAGGTAGGCACAAAGATAGGCACGTTTCTCTCACAAGATGAGCCAGCTCTAGGCAGGTCAGATGTTACGTTATTCTTTTAGCAGAAGAGATGGTAACCAGTGTAGAACAGGACTGCCTAAGAGCTACATACAGACTAAAAAGCATGGGCTGATCTATCCAGCAGCATGAAAAAGCACAGTACAATAAACTGATATTCAAAATGATAACATAATGATAATCCTGAACACTTAGAGACTCAGTATGCAATTTAACAATGCAAGTACATATATGTTGTTGTTTTAGGTGCCATCGAGTCAATTCCAACTCATAGAGACCCTATGTAAAACAGAACTAAGTACTACCCAGTCCTGCACCATCCTCAATCTATGCTAGGCTTGAGCACATCACTGCATCCAATCTATCTTGCTGATGCTCTACTTCACCATCCTCCAGGGATCAGTCCCCCTTCAGACAATGTGACCAACATATGAGAGATGAACGCTGGCCATTCTGACTTCTAAGGGGCATTCTTGCTGTATTTCTTCCAAGACAGATTTGTTCGTTCTTCTGGCAGTCCATAGTATATTCAATATTCTTCAACACCACAATTCAAAGGCATCAATTTTTTTTTTTGTCTTCCTTATTCATTGTCCAATTCTCACATGCATATGAGGCTACTGAAAATACCATGGCCTGGGTCAGGTACACCTTAGTCTTCAAAGTGACATCTTTGCTCTTTTACACTTTAAAGTGGTCTTTTGCAGATTTACTCAGTATGATACATTGTCTGATTTCCTGACTGCTGCTTCCATAGGTATTGATTTTGAGTCCCAGTAAAATGAAATTCCTGACAATCAGTCATTTCTCCATTTATCATGATGTTGCTTAATGGTCCAGTTGGGAGGATTTTTCTTTTATGTTGAAGTGTAATCCATACTGAAGGCTATAATCTTTGATATTCATCAGTGAGTGCTTCAAGTCATCTTCACTTTTAGCAAACAAGGTGTGTCATCTGCATATCACAGGGTGTTAATAAGTCTTCTTCCAATCCTGACACCAAGTTTTTGAAGAGTCCAGCTTCTTGGATTATTTCTTGAGCAAACAGACTGAACAACTATAGTGAAAGGATACTACCCTGTCGCACAACTTTCCTGATTTTGAACCACAGTATCCCCTTGTTCGATTTGAACAATTGCCTCTCAGTCTACGTACAAGTTCGTCATGAGCACAAGGAAGTATTCTGAAATTCTCATTCTTTGCAATGTTATACCTAATTTGTTATCATCCACTAGTATCTCTGAAAAGTCAATAAAACACAGGTAAACATCTCTCTGGTATTCTTTGCTTTCATCCAAGATCCATTTGACATCAGTAATGATATCCTTCATTCCATGTCCTCTTCTGGATCTGTCTTAAATATTGGCAGGTCCATCAACATACTGCTGCAACTGCTTTTGAATTATCTTCAGCAAATTTTACTTCTATGTGATAATAACAATATTGTTCAATAATTTCTGTATTCTGTTGGATCACCATTCTTTGCAATGGACACAAATACAAATCTCTTCCATCTGGTTCACCAGGTAGCTGCCTTTTAAATTTCTTGGCATAAACAAGTGAGTAACTCCAATGCCATATTCACTTGCTGGAAATCTCCAATAAGCATGCCATCCATTCCTGCAGCCTTGTTTCTCACCAATTTCTTCAATGCAGCTTAAACTTTTTCCTTCAATACCACTGGTTCTTAATCTTATGTTATACCTCCTGAAATGGTTGAACATCGACCAATTCTTGGTACAGTGACTCGGTATTCTATCTTCTTTTGATGCTTCTTGCATTGTTCAATATTTTGCCCATAGAATCCTGCAATAATGCAACTTCAGGTTTGAATTTTTTCTTATAGTTCAGCTTGAGAAATGTCAACTGTGTTCTTCCCTTTAGGTTTTCTTAACTCCAGGTCTTTCCACATTTCTTTATGATACTTTGTCTTCTTGAGCCACTCTTTAAAATCTTTTGTTCAGTTCTTTTGTTTCATCATATTTCTTCCATTCACTGTAGCTACTAATACTCTCCATTCAAGAGCAAGTTTCAGAGTCCCTTGTGACACCCATTTTGATCTTTTCTTCCTTTCCTGTCTTTTTAATGACCTTCTGCTTTCTCCTGTATGCTGTTCTTGATATCATACCACAACTTGTCTAGTAAAGTAGAGAGGGTCAGTGGAAAAGGGGAAGACCCTCAATGAGATATACTGACACAGTGGCTCCAACAATAAGCTCAAGCAAAGCAAAGACTGTGAGGATGGTGCAGGACTGGGCAATGTTTTGTACTGTTCTACATAGGGTCACTACTATGACTCAGAGCTGACCTTATGGTATCTAACAACAAAATTATTTCATCCATTTAAAAATAACAAGTGGTGAGGATTCAATAATATTAGCTATTTTCAGTATATCTCAAGTATCATTTATAGCTAAAAATTTCCTGAAATTTAGTCATTTCTATATCTAAACTTTTGTATTTTTTGAGAATACATAGGAAGAAGATCCATCTATGAATGGGGAAATCTGATCTTCTTTCACAAGTAGGCAGCAGAAACAAAGCAAATGCATAAAATAAGAACCAGAAGAGGAGCCATCTAACTGTTGCACAGTATCTACTTACTTCAGGAAGTAATTTTTTGCATGACGGACAATGTGGGGCATGGTCAAGACAGCTGTCAAGGCATTTTAGGCAAAACGTATGTCCACATGGTGTAGTAACAGGCTCAATAAGCAACCTAGGGGAAAACAAATCAGGGTTTTCAGAAAGAAAGCTCCAGAAGAGACTTTAAGTAATCTTATTTCTTTAATAAGGATTCTTCTGCAATTCCCCTGCTATTCTAGAATCCACTTATACTTATTCCCATTTTATAATCTCCACAATCAAAGCTTTAGAAAATCAATCTATTATTAGTAAGGTATAACTAATTTCTCTGATAATAAAATATCCATTACATTTAGGTATGAAATTCAGAAAGGATAAATTTTTAAAAGGGCTGCAAAGATTGTGTGCCACCTACCTCATGCAGAAAGAACACTCCAAATCAGTTACAGCTATTGAGATCCCTGGATTTTTTCCAACTTCTGAGTCCATGATACTTTGAGGTGAAGAAGCTGCATCTGAAAAAATGTAAATTCTATAATCAACACTTGAACATCTGAGTAACAGAATGCAATAAGTTTATTTCCTCTGGATAAAATGTTTAAAATTAATATAATAGGTCATGCTGGGTAGAAACATTTCCTGTCCAGTTAACAGTACATAGCAATAATTTATTTGGATGGTAAGTATGAGCCAGTTAAAACGCTACCTAAATCCTATGTTTGATTATGAAGTCATTGCAGCATTACTCATCTAAAATGTTCTATAATCTCATAATTGATATATTTACATTTCATTATTAATGAGCATCTCTATCAAAGAGCATCCAATAGAAAGTAGTCAATTTAGCTCATTGTCTGTAGTTCTAATAAATACTCCAATGGTCTGTTAGATAATAATGTGATCTTATGTGATTTGGTGGCTCTTAAAAAAAAAGCTTAGTATTTTAATAGATATAAAGGATAAAAAAATGTAATTCATACATAAAATGACAGTTACTTACAAAACATTTTTACATCATGTAATTCTAAAAAGTTTACAAAGAATTATGCCAATTGATTAATTCCTATAGAACCTGTAACATTCGCTAAAATAAATTTAACAACATGGTTAACATTGCTACCTATGACATTTTAATTCATAAAAAAATCAGGTTGATGGATCTATTTTCTCTATTCTCCCCTTTTCCCATCCTTGTCATATTTAAAATCCCATTTCCCCTTCACTTTCAAATTCTGGGCTTAGTATTTTATAGAAGTAGCCCCTAATTCAAAGGTCAGACTTTTTCCAAGTTTTCTTCTTTTTTCCCATTATTTCTCTCCTTCCTCTCTCCTGCCCCTTGTTATAAGCTCATAAAAAATGTTGTATTTACTATGAAAAATGTATATTCAAGAATTTTAAACTAACTGTGTTAAAAAAGTTAAATTACAAAAGAGTTTACTGACCTTTCTTAGGAATTTTTTCAGGGATGTTCACATCAGGCACACTCTTCAATTCACTGGGAAACCGTCTCTTTACACCAGTGCCAGGTTTTATTGAAAGGATATTCTCTATTATTTCATTATCCTCTTCACATTGTTGACTCATTATATGATAGAAAACTGAAGCATTGGTATTTTTAAACATGTCACGGTTTACAGATGAACTCTGGGTAAGTACGAAAAAAGAATCCTGAATATTAAAGAAATGCCATCATAAAAGGGGGAAAAAAAAAACCTGCACAACAACCATCTTTGAAATCTTCAGAAGAGGGTTTACAGTCTTCCTTTATTAGTTCATTTCATCTATTAACAGAGCAACATATATGTACATACAAACATTCCATGCTATTTTTTTTTTCCTTTACAGCAACATATACAAAAATAACTGTGGTGATGGGATATAAATAAAACATACACACATATATACACAAGAGTTTTATATCTAGCTACAGATATATATATAAGCTCTGTCTGTCTGTCTATCTGCCTACCTACCTATATAGATATAACAAATTCTGGTGGTACAATGGGTAAGGCATTTGGGTTCTAACCCATTATCACTGGTTCAAATCCACCAGCTGCTCTGAAAGAGGAAAATGAGGCAATCTACTTCTATAAAGATTTATAGCCTTGAAAATTCTATGGGAGTCACTATGAGTTGGAATCAACTCGATGACATTGGATTTTGTTTCGGTTAAATATAGATATATAAAACAAAATCTACCTATTCAAATAATTCCTCTGTTTTTAACTCTAAGCCAAAAATCAAGTCTCTTGATATTCCGAGTTATTAAGAGGTATTCTAGAGTTCTGGCAAGATGGCGGACTAGGCAGAAAGACTGCACAGACCCTCTTCAACAAAGAAAAGG